GAAGGCTTCTATAGCAGTGGTGCAATTCAGCCAGTTCTATCCAGTTTGAGCAAACCGGTAACGGCGGCGGTGAGAGGCTCTGCCCATTTTTGATGCTTTGTGCATGCGCGGAAGGTTCTGCGTATGTGCAGAGGTAGCGTATGCCTCACATTTGCGAACCGGTAGTGAAGGTAAGTTGATTTCACCCCTGCTCTGTAGCCAATAACAGAGCTCTGGATTGATCCAGAGTGCTGTTATTGGCTGCAGAGGCCTTTCTAGCCAATAAGAGAGCTCTGGATCAATCCAGAGCTCTGTTATTGGCTACAGAACCCTTCAGGAAAGCCTTGCTGGCTGCAGAAGAAATGGGTTGAGGTGTCCAAGGCCTGGCTGCAACTACCCAAAGCTGAAGAAGTTTCCGAAGGCCTCTGACACTGAAAAGGAGTCCGGAGATGACGCGTTCAAGTGAGGTGAGTCAGTGGACGACACAAATATAATTGACTGGCACATGGTTGATATGGATTCCTGCCAACTTCCTAGGTATCAACCAAGTATCTTCTTAAAATGTATAATTATGATGATGAAGTTGCCTTGCATGTACAATGGGTGTTTTTGTACCAGATGCAAATTCCTTGTGTGTCTAATCACACTTGACAAATTCAATTCAACCTAATTCAATGTCTACAGAGATTCTCAATCATCCAGGTCACGGTTGTGTGAAGCTGCTTTTAACAAAATACAACTGGACTTTCTTGGGGTTTTTTCCCCTTTGAGAACATTTTGCTTCTCATCCAAGTAGCTTCTTCAGTTCTTCAGAGGAGAAGTGAAGCATATTCAAAGGGAAAAAACACACACCAAGAAACTCCAGTTGCATCTTCGGGACTTGCCCTTCATCTAGCCAAGCTCCATCCACCCAGTGCCCGTTCACCCCAAGTGTCAGCAGCAAACCAAAAGGTTCTTTTTCAAGAGGCAATTAGACCTTCTGATTTTGCTTTGAAGACCTTTCACTTCTCAGCCAAGAAGAA